TTTGTTTGAAAACCGATATTTTTTTTCTCCAGTTTGGCCTACCGTCTACACGTATAAGGTGAAAACGATCACCGAAAAGGTATCTTTTCAAAAAACGCTCTCCAGAGTAAAGATTTTTTTAAAACGCCGGCTTTTCGTTTACTTGTCGACGGACGAAAACGGAGGTTTTCGAATACGATGATGTCACACATGAAAAATACATCATTTCAAATTCATAATTAAAAATACATCATGGCATGACGCATGCTCAATCTGGTATGTCGTCGTATTTCGATCGTGTTCGCCTTTTTGTATGGACCCACGAAAATGATTGGAATACGCTAAGTGTTCATGCGCATTTTTTGAAAACGGAAAAAAATCTTTGTTTTCAAAAATATCCGGACAACTGTGTACGGGGCTAAGTGATGATTACATACAGTAATACGTCTAAGCAAGACCTCGATGTGCATTCTACCAGTGGCTATACCATTTTAGGCCTTAAAAGCGGAGCACCATGGGTAATAAAATTTGGCAAACTATCCATCCGAGAAAATTTGGTTATGACGTCACCGTCCGTCCGTCCGTACGTACGACCGTGGACTCTCCGGGTAGAGGTAAGTAGAAACGAATTCTTCCCCTCTCCCCTAGAGAGTTTTGTCCCCTATTGTTTCAAAAGTTGTCAACTGACCAAATGAACCATTTCAGCGAAGCATGGACCAAAACCATTGCGGCCGGGGACCTAAGCTGTTGAACTAAGCCAAATGGATAAAGGGCGACAAAAGAAGAAGAAAACGGCAAATGTAGCGCAATTTTCCAAGTCCTACACCACAGTAAGGTGACAGTAAAAACCAGTTTATTTCCTTAAAATATTTCTTCAAAGTAGAATATGCCCTAGAACTATAAGTAAACATTTAAATATAGAATTGAAATCCGGCCTAATAGCAGGAGGGAGCACCACCCATGATTTACTTGCAACTACGACCTGCAAGAAAAAATTATATCACCAAAATTTTGCAACAACAGGATAGCGGCTCTAGGAAATGTGACGCAAACGATGACAGTGATTCTAATAAACGGCCCTATGCCTATGACGCAATGTCTGCAGGCAGCATAATAGAAAGAAACTAAACTGACCACCCCGGGGCAAAATAGGCATGCAAAGTAGCTCCTAAACAAAGGCCTAGCGAATAACCTACAAATAAAACTTAATAACAAACTCGTAATAACTGCATTATGTATACCCTAAACGCGACTTACTCTAGTAGATCATTTAAATCCCCCAAAAGGCCCCATAAAACTTTCCAAAATATGAATTTAGCGCGTTGTAAACGATTTACTTTTTCTTTTTCTTTCTTTTTTTGTTTTTTTTGTTTGTTTGTTTGTTTTTTTCTTTTCTTTCTTCCAAATCTGTTTTTGGGCAATTTACGACATGAAGCTCAAGTTTTCATTCATACTCGGCTACTTCGTGTGAATACGATAACGTGGAAGTCAAAGAAAAATCAGTAATGTGTCATGCTTCTTAAATTGTAGCTGGCAAAGACGTCGGTGTGTTTTTATTATATTTTTTTATATTGAAATCTTTTTCTGGTTCAATTTTCGATATGTAGCATAGGTATTTTATTTGAAAATTGGAAAATCCAGTAGTTCTGCCTAAATAGTCGTGCAAATGTTGTTTTGGAATAGCCTAAATCAAGAATTTACTTCAACATTTCTGGGGAAAACCCCGCTCACACACCAGACACGCCGCACGTTCAACCGCTCTCGTGCAATTTTGAAGGGACCAATCAGAAACACTTTTATTGTTTTTTGCTGAAACCAGTCAGAGACAATCTTGCTCCAGGGTTCCCCAGAGCTCTTTATCTCTCTCCTCTGCATGCACCGAAGAGCTCTGGGTGGAGAGTGTCCTGCACTGAAAAAAATATCGCTCATGACGTACAATGCTGAAAAATAAATCTTACACCGTTATATGTCGGCGAAAAAATTTCTAACTCCAGAGAGGTTTGGAAAAAAAATCTTCTCCAATACAAACTAAATCAGTAGAATCACTCATACCCCACTCCCCCACAATCGTCCAATGGTCATGTCAACCATTTAGGGGGTGAGGGAAGAAACGGATTTGACACCTTAGTAAATGTTATCCATCAACAAAATGGCTGGCAAGCATTCATGTGGTGGTTTTCAAGACTAAAGTTTTGCATTTCAAGATTGAAAATACGCCGATATGACACAAATGGAAAGAGAAAGTTCAAAAGAATGCTCAGTTTTCTTTCTGTGGGCAAACGAAAGCTTTTCGCTATGAAATTGTCTTTCGAGGAATTCAACCTCACGGCGGATCGGAGCGCTTGGCTTGTTTTGAACCAACCAAGGCGGCAAGGTTTCTGAAGACACTTGAGGTACATTCCGTACTCTATGATAAAAGAAAAGTACGTTTTTATTTATAAAGGTTTCATGGACGTTTTCTACGTTTTGACATCGGCGTGAAAGAAAACCACAAAATGTGCATTTGAAATTGATTTTTGCACGTACTCGACCGATTTAACTTGCGTGAACGCAATGATTTAACTTGTCTTACGCGAATTGCTTTTTAGGATTACAGCGGTTACCACTAACACGTGCCTTTGAAGGGGTTTTTCTGTCTGTTTAAACCTGAGTTTTCGTGGACGTCAATCAACTGTTTCCATCGTTTTCCACGCGCTCTGACAGAGTAGGTTCTCATCGCTGAATGAAGGGCGAATAATTTCGAACGACGACGGCTTTTTAAATTATTTTATTACGATGAAGGATTACATTGTTAAAACAACGAGGTCTCTGCGAGCTGAGTGAAATAGCCGAAACATTCTCTATAGTTTACGTAACGGTTTTCAGGTTGTTTATGCATTTGATTATATGAAAACACGGGAGCCGTGGACGCATTGCCAAGAAGCTAGTATAAATTCAAAGAAACAAAAGATATCACACTGAAAAGGGAAAAAGTTTCCTCTGAATGGAGGCTGTTTTCGAAAATGAATTTTGCTGTACTTATCATTCTTCATGTTATCGAATAGAAACCAGAACTAGCAAGAACTCAGACGAGTTGCGAGCGATTGACAAAGCTTATGTTGTTGTAACTATGTCGATAATTTGAGTTTCCTCCGAAAAACACTCAACAAATTCTTTCTCCTCGTAATCTTGACATGAAGCGGTGTCAGATCCTGCAGCAAAATGTTGCGAAAACGGCTGAAACGCCGACATATTCTTCCAAGTGCTCAATAAACGGAGAAAGAATTTTCTCTAGGCCAACGCGTGAAAAACCATGGTAACGGTTGATTGACGTCCTCCAAAACGCAGGTTTGAACAGAAGAAAAAGCCCTTTGAGGGCGCGTGTTAGTGGTAACCGCTGTAACTTCATGGGTTTTTGAATAAACATTTCCAAGAAATTAAGTTAATTATCTGTCATTGTTCATTCATAACATTAGCTGAAAAAAAAATCCATGAGACTACAGATCGTGTGATTTTTAGAAACATTCAGAGGGGCCCTTTCTTGGATTAAAACTGAAGTGTTGATTTTGTACATGTTCCGCATTGAATTGCTATTTATTTTCTCATTCATTACTTGCCATTCATAAGAATTTTGCAGTGTGTAGAATCCAAGAATTTCTGCAGTTTTGCAGTGTGCAGTGTGCTGCTCTTTTACCATTACTTGTGCCCTGAATACAGCTGAATACCGTTTGAATTAAGTTTACTGCGTTTGTTTCCAGTTGTTTGTTTACGGATTTATATTCTTACTGAAAAAGTGAGCTTATCTAGAAAGTGAAACAGTTCTCCTCTATTCTAAAACGGACAGACTCGTCGGCTTTTCGAGCCCGCGTTTTTTAATAACAAACAGTTGTAACTTGCTGTATTAACGTTTATATTTGTAGTGAAGGATTGGATTATAGTTATTGGTAGCGAAAAAGGTTATCGTTTGCTTTCCTATGTCTGTCCTCAGAGAAAATATTATACACGTTACGGTAAAATTTTCTTTCAGATATTGTGAGGTATAAATGTAAAGGCTACACATACTGTTCGTCCGGGCCCAAGAAAAGAAAATATATGATGGGCTTGCGGGAAGACAAAAGTCCTTAAGTCGGCCTGATTTTCCTTTTACTTATAAAATATTTTTCTTCATCGAATTTCAAAAACACGAAAAAACACCGACCCTAGAAATCTTTCTTTTTAACCTGTAATTGCTGCATTTCAAACTAAAAAGTCGAATCTCGAGCGCGATTTACGCAAAGAAAGAGACCTACAATTTAACATTTTTTTCAATTCAGGTTTGTTTGCAGGATATTTTTTTTCTTCATCCTTTAGCCCCTCCCTCTAAAGGTGTCTGATGCCGAAGGCTCTTAGGGCTGTGAGGATTTCTTTTTTTTTTTTTTTTGGCTTAGAGTTCATGTTATTACTTTAAATTGATTGCTTTTATCATTATAGAAACGGAGGCTTCGCTTTTAGCCCTGGCTAAATCTATACATCATTGAATGTGTGGTGCGTCGAAGAAGAATTCAAAGATTTAACGAGAACCAGTAATACAAATTTTGGAAGGCTTTATTCTCTAATACAACTATTCGAAATTAACAACAACTTTTTAAATTAATTTGTTTTTTTGGCCAATGTTATTGGGTTCGAAGGTTAGTGCAGTTGGTTGGGCAGACTCAAAATACAGGTGCATATGTGTCAAGACTTGTCAAATTTTGCATAAAGCATACACGGCCAAGGGACCTCTTTCGCACAGTTTTCTGATGTGATACTTTCTAGCTATTTATCTGGGTTATAGGTTTAATGTATATGTACAGTTCTTAAAAAAGTGAAAATGAAAGACACAAACTCCATCTAATAACCACCGATTCCCTACAAATGCAAGTTCGCACGTCCGCTGAGTAATTTTGTAATAAGCGATGAGTAATTAAACTGATAAACTACTGTACACACAATAAACTGAGGCATCACACAGAAGTTTCCGGAAAGTAGGTCGGACACAGACATTTACATTCTTGTTCATGCAAAAATAATTTCTTCAAAGTACCTTTCACTGAATCTCGAATTTCACGATATCGCCAGCAATAAACAAGAGGGTTTACTGACGAATTCAGGAAAATAAGAGTCAACGATGCACGTTCAGCTAACAGCAAGGAAGTGTCTTCACCATCGAGTACTAGCAATAAAATGATAGTGAATATATATGGAAGGTAACAAACCAGGAATACCAAATACACAACCAAAGCATTTAAAGCTGACTTTCTTTGCCGAAGTATATCAATTAAATTGGAGTTTTGTAACCGAAGATGGCATTTCATCTGATGTTGATGATATCTAACAGCTTTGTAGATACGAATATACGCCACAGTGTTCAGGCATAGCCCAATGGATTCAACAATCGCAGTTACCTTGTTGCTATGTTCAGAGAGTATAATAAAAAGCGAGCCAGTCGCACCACTTGTCAGCCATAAAGCCGTCAAAACACTAATGACACGTTTTGGGGTCACAAGCTCGCGATATCGTAGATGCAGTGAAATAGAAAGAAGCCTGTCAACTGCAATGGCTGTTATCGTCAAAAATGATGCGCTGCACAGAAGAACCAACAAGAAATAACAGAGGTTTAAAATTGTCGGACAAAAGGAGGCAATACTCTGGTCATTCGATGTCTTTTTTAACATTACCGCAATGATGACACCATACATCGGCTGGGCCAAAATCCCGGCTACAAAATCGGAAACAACGAGACTCAAGAACAACTTTTTTACAGTAGCAGGTATCGTAGAGGATTTCCACAATGCGTGAAAAACTAGTAGATTTTCCAGAGCTGCAATCAGAGCAAACGTCAAGTTTAAAGTACAAAAAGCCTCAATAAAGCCCCTGTGTGAATCAATAAGCGATAACTGTTCACTTAGCTCTTCAATGCAGAATTTTGAGGCCATAGTGAAATTTTACATCAAAATCTCCTTTTAAGCAGGGTGTCACCTTTCCCTTCCTACTGGCATGGGCTTCAGGTAGTTTGAGTCCTCCAACTGTTGATTTTTATTACATACACGGAGGGTGCGTGGCCAACTGTCCGCAAGTTTTTTATTATTATTATTATTTTATTTCTCTGCATCCAAGGTTGAACAATCACGATAATAAAGGGGTAACACAAAGAAGACAGTCCGGAGGCTCAGCTGCTTAATTGTAGAGCTGTGAAAAATGACAGGTAAAATGTCAAAAGCCAAGCAAATACAATATAACTAAATTGATGAATAAAAAAGATATTGCAAGAAAGATGTCATTCAACAGATTTCGACTGTCTTTCAGAGGACGCCTCATGGAACACAAAAATTAAACCGGATCGACACAAAACGTTTTAATTGCTGAAGAAAACTCCCACATGCTTTTTACGGTGCTGGAATAAGTGGGTGAAACGATAATGCCTATCAGCCCATGACTGCCATGAGTGATGAGATGTTGGAACAGGTCTAGACGCGATTCGGCTTGGAAAGTGTGTTGTAGCACTAAAGCTGAATGAGAAGCGAAAAAGAAGGATGGAAGCTGATACAGAAAGGTTATTACTAGGAAAAAACAGTACAAGTTTCCACGCATTTTTCCACTTTCTTAATTTTTACAATTTCAGTTGGTGAGAGAATGGACTGAATAAATTAAGGTATTAATTAATCAAGTTTAGTAAGTTTGTTCGAAACACATAATGTAAAGTGAGCGCAAACTGAAGTCAAATGTTAATTCATTCGGGGTATAGCACGGAAGGTGGTCACGTTTTCAGATACTAGTCAAAGAGTACTTTTTTATGTGTATGTTCTTTTAAAAAAATGATTTTAAGGCTTGCACGCCCGAAAGTCATTGTAAGACAGGAAAGTATAAATTTAAGATGGGGACAATACTGGGTTTAAGTTACAGAAAGCCAGAATATTGCGGTTCGGTAGAATTATAAAGGTGCTGATAGTTCATTTACGTTCTGACGGCAGTCATTTTAGGCGCTTGTGAAGTTCTAGTTCAATCAGCCAGGGTCTGCCTGAGTCAACAAGAAAAAATAATTAAAATGGCTGTGTCAAGCTAAGTTAACAGAAATTCATTTGCGTGCGAATAGAATTTTTAATGACTCCTTGCGCTATGAAATAAAAACACATGAAAATCCACTGAAATTTTTCATGGTAAATTCACGTTTTTCATGGCTTTGTCAGGAGATTTTAATGGGTTTTTTACGGAAAAATACCAATAATATGGCATGAAAATCTCAAGAAAAAAGAATGAAGACCATTAATATTCAACGCTTCAGGGCCCATGAAAAAAACTAACAAACAAAAAACCCATGAAATAAAATGAAGCCAATCATGTTTTTTTTTTTCCCATGGCTTATTAATGAGAATGAAAAGGCAATGAGTTTAAACGCTCTTTTTCATGGTGTCAGAAGTTATGGGGTTTTCATAAGGGTTGTTAAATTCATGCCCCTTTAACAAAACCATCAGTTTTCCGTGAACGGTTGAATATTAATGGCTTATGAAAATGAAATGGCTTTTGATGACATTTTCATTACCCAAGAAATATGCCCCTTGCTTATTTTTCATGGGAAAGACAGAGACAATGGCCATCATGAAAATGTAGTCTTAAACTATTCTCAACTGTTAAACCAAATACATTGTTTGTGGTTGTTAAAATAACACTGAAAATCATAATCATAATTAAAACTTAATGAAAGAAGAAAACATCCAAACAAAAATACTTGCCAAATTGGTGTCAGTTCATGCATTTGCTGAAGTGTATATCATTGGATAGCACATGCAAGAGGTTAATAGATGCGTTGTCTACATTTCATTATCACATCGTTCCCATTCACCAGAAACAAGCCAAAAGAAAACAAACAAGTCAACATCTTTCGAAGTTACACAGGCTACTTACAATTGACTTTTCATTGTCAGTTAGGCGTTAGTCGGTCACGTTAAAACGCAGAACATGCAGACTGCAGACCGTGCAGACTGTGCAGACTGAGTATCTTTGATAAATATATATTTATCATTTATTTACTTATTTTTATCATTATTTTTTTACCTAATATGTATTTTTTCTCTCGGCATTATATAGAGTCTTTTTACTTCTAAGCTGGTTTCCCGCAATTTTTCCCGTTACACCGTTAATGTGAATCGGCACACGGAACAGCACTTATGGCGCCTTTTCAGTAGCGGCATTTCAAGCATGGCTCATCATACAGAGATCAGAAGCTAGTGGGTTAATACTCGGTTAGCACCAGGGCGTAAGAAGCTAGGGCGTTGAAACGAGCGCCGTCGAGCGGTCTAGCTATGATGCAAGGGTCTGGGTACTACCACAGAAACAAAACAACATCGCGGACATTATACTGGACCGTCAGAGAGATTATCCAGCAAACGTTAGCCATTTTCCCGTGGCATTCATTTGCTGCAAGCAATAGCCAAGGAACAATTCAATTTTTTTTCTCACGTTCGTTTCCTGTTTTGTTCAATTTTTCCCCCGCGAACAAATGTCTGTATTGAATATAGTTCCACCTCCGTGACCTGTACTAAAATTTCGTGACTTGGAAAGAAAATGGCGTCACAACTCAGATGATAGCACTGACATCATTTTTAGGCTAATATTATCGTCTCTCTACTTCAGTTTAATATCAAGTTGTGTAATTCATCATTTGCTTTGGCATTTACTTTTTGCTGCCCAGTTTAAAGGCAAGATGATCTACTTTTACAATTAAAGTTTGGATTTGTTGGTGTACATCAGTATTCTTCTCTAAACACCTTATTGAGCTACCTCCAATATTGAGCATTACAGTTGGACAGACTGTGAAAACTTAAGTTCGGGTAAATTTAAAATATAATAAAATCATCATTATTTTTTATCTTGTACACTAATACCACTGTGCAATGAAGAATAAGTATGTGAAAAAAATGGAATTCACTGCCCTTGAAAAACTAACAAAGAGGTCGCAAGAACACTGACAACTATGTAGCCCAGAAAATATTTTTGTTTGAAAATATCAGCTTTTTGTAATGAAATGGTCACTGAAAACTACCCATGCAAGACATGCTAATGAACTTAAAAGAAACTAAACATTCACTAGTCTTACATTGAAACCAGACATTGCTATATATAATCTTACAGATACAAAATAAAACATTTGTATAAAATACAAATTCAAAAGTATTTTGCAAACAAGAAAATTATACAGAATTATGCACAAACGAAATACAAATGGCCTGTAAAAGCTATTAAACCATTGAAAAACAAACTTTTTAGTGTGACCAGCAACCCTGGCACACTTGTATACTTTATGTCCAGTATGATTCAATTTCATTCTTGGTTAAATTTATTAACTGCAACCAGGTTTAATCAAACTTGATTCAAAAAATACTTCCCTGTTTCCTTGTCTACAATATATAATATTAAGAGAGAGGATATAATGCTAGAAATATTATACAGTAGTACAATCAAAAGATAAGGCACCTCCAGATAATCGAGTCGGTCCCTACTATTCTTTAGTCATTTTCGTTACACCTGTCAATTAATACAGACATCTGAGACATTTTGTGCCAGTCCCATTATAAGTTTCCACCTGAGAGCTGCCTGTAGTTTGTGCAACACCACACTCAAGTTAAACCTCTGACGACGAAAATCAGTACAATGTTACACAGTCTAAATTTACTCTACTTGCAATCAAAATAAGACCTCGTCATGTTCTTCTTCATATTCACGGTATTATGAACTCGTTTATCTTTCAGTGTGTGTTCTAGTAGTCTTTTCAGGCCGGGCACTCTCTGTTGTCCTGCAAAAAATCATAATAACAAAAACATTCTATGATTTAATTTTACAGTGGAATCTTTGTGGGGATTTGAAAGAAAATTTCTCCATAGGCTTCATTCTGTTTCTGTGCAATACAGCCTTTAGATTTTTACTGCGGTGAAGCAGAATTTGTTGTTGTTTATGTAAAATCTGTCGCACGAGATGATTCGAATGCAATTTTCTAGTAGAACTTTAAAAATAGTCAGAACCTTCTTGAATCGCGGTTCTGTAATTTAAAAAAATATATTTACCATCTTAGTGTAAATTAAAAAAAAGAAAAATCGCTAAATTGGGCAACTGAAATCTTTTATTTTACTAACAGGCTAAACGCCAAAGTACAAAACAGAAACCTTGCTATCGCCGTTATGAAGTCGTCACTTTAAAAGTAAAAAAACCTTAAAGGTTCATAAAAGTTCACTCTAAAAATTTGCAAGCACAAACAAAATTTATAAAACCATTACATATTTTTTTTGGTAGTCGTTTATTATCGTTTGGTTTTGACTGGCAAGATAAAACGCGACCTTCAACCTGTAATATTCGATAGGCCATTTTGACACAACATAAACATAAAAGGCGAAAACTGAACACCTTAACTTATAAGACTAACTATAGAATATCACCTAAATATATTCTGTATATCGCATAGAAATACGCCAAATACCAAACCTAATTATAGATTGCAGCGATCTAAAGATATAAAAGCAATAAATCCGAACCCACCTCCAGCTAGACGGCGCCATTTTTCTTGCCCTGACAAAGAATCGACAGCGGAAAGGCCAACTAGTTCCAGTCCTACTCCGCATCACAGCTGAACCAGAGAGCGCGTATGAGCGTTTCAATGCCCTAGCTTCTTACGCCCTGGTTAGCACTCATCTCCATACTCCAAGCTGACTGTGTATTTCCGTCTCAGTAGCTCTCACAAGACATTCTCTTTTCCGACATGAAATTTCTACGTTTCTTAAATTTCTGCTTGATAATATGTTCAAGAAAGGCTAAGTCTCTTCAGAAGTTGAGGAAAAAAAATCCAAGATGACAGAGCAGGACTCGGTACTGAAGCATCGGATCTGCACTGCACTGCACACTACACCACTGAGGATTTGCTGAATGCAAGAGCCATTATGGCTCTTTGAAGCTATGTAGCAACAACCCTAACCCTAAATAAAAGCTAACCGTTTTTCGAGTCAGTCCTTAACACTAATCACTATTCTCAGGGCTTATTTAAAATAAATTCCCAGTCTGTACAGTGTGCACGGTCTACGCAGTCTGCACGGTCTGCGTTTCAACGTGACCACCCTTTAGTATGGTGTACTACAGTGTAAATCAGGCCATTAATGTCAACAAAGTGTCATTGCAACACAAAATTCTTTGTTTACAAAGTGTGACATCAACAATACATACAAGCAAGAGAGGATAAAGGGGACAGAGAAGGCATCCCCCATACACACCCTATTCCATAGGTAATTCGTCTCGAGTTATTTTTAGAATCGGGATAAAGTTACCTTGCGCGTTGCGTGGATGTTTCGTGGAGGTTTCGCATGACTAAACGCCGTACAAAACATGTCGGGCGAAAAGCAATGAAAGCGTGAAGAGATCGAGAGCATTTCTGAATGTTGAAATGAAATGAGTCGGCGCTCACCTGGGAAAAGGGAATCGCAGGACTCTTTGACAACCAGTGAAATCAGTTAAACTCGAAGTTGTCGTAACCTCAGTCCTTTAATAAAATGAGAAATTTCGCCGGTCTATTGAAACCGGTCGCTTGTACAATAAAGCAAGTAGAACGCCAAGTGTTATTTTTGTTGAATAATAAAAGACTATTAAAAGAATAAATATCAAACCAGAAATTGCTCTCTTCAAACTGTAAATTATAAATGATCCTGAGAGAATATTCAGTGTGTTAAGGATTTCCCTGCTGTACTGTTACCTCTATACAAGAGAGGAAGGGCGATTCTTTTTTAATTTCCGCTTCGCTGGCACAGCTTTAGCAGAAATCTCTCTTTGGTCGTTTTCGTCGACAAAACGGATAGCAATATCGCTCTCCACGTCTGCCGCCATTTTTTTCAGCGTCATTTCGTGAGGGACGTGTGGCTCTGAGCGTGGGTCATCCACGCGGAACACATTCGCGCTATGTGATTGGCTGTTGTCTAATCCCCCTCGGGATCTGTGGTCTTAAAAATAACTCGAGACGAATTACCTATGGAATAGGCTGTGTATGGGGAATGCCTTCTCTGTCCCCTTTATCCTCTCTTGATACAAGTCGTCTGGAATACAAACAAACAAGTAGTACGGTGTCTCCTATTCAAGCCCCAATCATGACGTTCCAAATTTCACCATTAAAAATAATGAACAAAACATTTCAAGGGTTTGATCCTACTTACTTTGGACAAACTTTAATGAAATGAAAAAAGCTCATTTTAAAAGATAATACAAATGTTTATTTTAGCTAATAGCAAATGAACAGTAGACAAATCATTTAACACGCTGGCCCAAAAGACGTAAAAAGCTGCAACCTAAGAACTATTTTTGCATTTTTTATTCGTTTGAGCTCAAACTTTGCAGGATGGTAGAACTCTGTATTCCAAAAAACCGTATGTTTTTTGTTTTTCGATTTTCATGGTTTTTGGCGGGAAAATTACGTCACAAGTTTGACAGCAAAATTTAAATTTCAAGTTATGGCAAAACAAATAAGTAATTAAAAGAGCTTGAAGTGATAGAAAACA